ATAAAAAGTATTTATAGTACTCATAAAACACTTTTGATATTTAAATTCGCAGATAGGAAAATTTTCTAGATTTTTTTTAAAGGAATATTTCGAGAATGATAAGATAAACTTTCTCTATTTCCTTCCCTTCTGCTGGACCTCCCGCAGCGCAAATGAAGAGGCTTCACTGTCAGGAGCATCAAGGATAATCTTTTCTCTTATTTTCCATAGGGTTTCGTACTTAAAACTTCAAGTATTTGTCGCCGCTTCCTTCCGCCCGAACAGCAACACATTTCCAAGAAAAACATTTCGAAATTTTCATTGTGTCATCTATGCAGAGGGCGTGGCGTGGTGCGGAACAGTTCATCGAACACTTGAGCCTGAGGCTGAACAATTGAATTGTTCGAGGACCACCAGGAACTCAAGCAGGATTCAAGTATTCAATTCTCAATCAACAGGTAGGCAACAACAGTTAGGATTAGGCTTAAGCTGGAGGCCAGGTAAGGCAGGTAGTTTAACTATTACAGTTACTTCATAACCTACTTAAACACAGCGGGAGAGCCACAGAGGTAAAGAGAGCTGAAGCGGGGGAGGTACGGTGGGAGGGAGAAAGAGAGAGGGAAGACAACTTCCTTTTTGGTGCATTACATCATTTACTTTTTCGTTTCTTTTTTTTTTTAACAGTTACGTCTAACCACGCAACTTGCCCACCCTGGCCCCACGATCAGTGGATCTCTCATGCCACACACTGTTGCAAGTAGAAAGAAAATTACCTAATTGTGTTGCATCGACAACAACTACAATAACAACAGCAGCAAATTCAACGAGCAGCGACTTTTTCTACTCCACTTCTTGCTTGGCTAAGCTGCCCCCCTCCCCCCTCTTGACCCCCTGCAACAGCAACTCCTCTGCCGTATGTGTGCCACATGCTGCCAAAGAAAATTAAAAATGTGCCACACACTAGCAAACGTAGTTTTTTCTTCTCCTTGCATTTAGTTGGCAAGTTTAGTTAGTTAGTTACTCTCTCTCTCTCTCTCTGTCTTTCTCTCTCTGTGCAGTTCGTTATGCCTTGCTTTTGCTTAGTTTCTTTCTCTTTGGCATCGTTAGATAATAGACAACAACAACAGCAACAACAACAACAGTTAGTTGTTGCATTTGCTGTGTCGGCGGCATAAGTCAAGCAAGACTTCCTATATTTTGAAACACGTTACGTTCGTAACATAAATTCACACAACAGGTTACAACAATTCGCCTCTCCTCTCCCAGCCAATGGCAAAAGCTCCCTCTCTCTGTCTCTCCCTCTCTCTCGCTCTTACATACTCTCCTGCTTGATCTCAATTGCTTTAGCGGAGTTCGAGCTCGAATTCGTATGGGAAAAGTTTGCGGCGCTAGCTGGAAAATGTGATCAACAGCCATCGGAAAATGATTAATGTCATTGTCTATTGAAGATTTTATAATTTTCACAGATCATTCTTAAAAGTAATTAAGCTTGAATTTCAATAAACATCTGAGTGCTGAGTTAAACAGTTATGCAGTCATCAGCGAATGGTTCTTTAGAAAAAATTATCAACAATAATGTATACTTAATTTAGGGTTATACTATTATATTTTCCATAAAATCAAAGTATGGTCAGTGAAATTCCCAGACATTGGTTATTGCGTGTTATATTTGCATTGAAAGCGAAAAGGAATAATATAATTCCAAGACATTTATACGCATAATTGGTCTATTATCCTATTATATTTCATATCAAATTTTAAATGTATTATAGCAATTTACTCAAGCAATTAAAGATGTTTGGTTTTAGCAATTTTATACCACTGTGCAGTGTACTGTGGGTGTATGAGATATTTCAAACAAGTTTGTTTAAAGTTTGGCCGAGCAACAGATTTAGCGCTCTCTCTCTCTCACACACACTTTATCTCCCTCTCCGTATGTCTATCAGCTGTTATATAAATTTCGTTCAATTTTTTATGGGAGCCTTATTAACCGTTTTATGCCTGGTAATATAAGCTAAATGCGATGAAAGAGAGAAACCGAGAGAGAGAGAAAGAAAAGACGAGTGGGCGGCAGCTTGAGGAGCTTTGGTTTGATTTTCTTTTAGTTCCAATTCGCACGATCATTTATTGGAGTTGAAACTTAATACTCTCGCACACACACACACTCATGCACTTTCTTCTGCGGCGAATTCGAGACAGCATAAATGGAAGCTGCTAACATTTATGGCAAGGCAAATTCAGGTTAGTGTGATATTTGTGCACTGTAAAATGGGTCGTTGTTGTTGTTGTTGCTGCTGCACAAGTGGCTGTCATAATGCTGGCAAGTGCTGTGTGTGTGCAGTATAGTGTAAAGTGTTCACACAATATATATGTGTGTGTATAAGTATTGCAAAACATCAATATAGCACACAGCAACAGCAAAAAACAACACAAACAATGGGCGATAACAGCACGCAACAAGAAAATAAACCAACAACAACAACGGTGAGTAAACTAGCTAGCCAGCAAATACAATTGCTATGCGCAGCTACTTCCGCATGCAAGTTGAAACAACTAAAAGAAACTGAAAAAACAACAACAGCCACAGAAAAAGCGTCGACTGCGACTCATTCTCAATGCACTTGGATATGCGTGCATGTGTGTGTGAATGTGACTCAAAGATCATGGCATATCGTATGAAGAAGAAGAAGCGGCAAAGAGCAACAACAAAATGCGCTCGTTTGATATATTGAGCCCTTTTATTAAACAGCAGAGACAAAAGCGAGCCGAGCGTCACACAATTGCTTTAGATTTCATAGTATTGGTGTTGTTGTTGCTATTGCATAGGCATAGGCATACATATGCTTCCTCTTTCTTTCATTGGTCTGCCTAGCATTTGCCTTTGCGCCGCCTCCTTCTACCTGCTGCGCGGAACACTTTTTATACCTGTTTCTGCTCTAGCATGTCATACACTTGGGCGCATGTGTGTGTATGTGAGTCTCCCCAATTGCCATGCTGCTGACCCGACAGATCGTCGTCGTTGTCGTCGCCGTCGTCAACGTTTTGCCGCTCTCTTTTGCTATTTTGCTTCCGTACAATTTATACGCTCTTGCTCTTACGTTTTAAGGCGTCGCGCGCGCGTCTCTTACGAGTGCCGCGTCGTCACACACTCACCCGTTACGTCGCGTCGTCGTCGTCGTCGTTTTTGTGTGGAGCAATGCGGAAGTGAATTTAATTTATTGTATTTACGCTGCCCCACAGACACAACAAACAGACAAACGGACAAACAGATGGATGGATAGATGGCTAGAGAGAGAGAACCAGGAAAGTTAACGGCTAGAAATCCATAAAATTTTTGTTGCTTCAGTTGGAGAGATGTCTGTTTTAAGCTAGTGTGCGTGCATATGTTTGTGTGTAGTCGTATGTATTTCTACGTTTCGCTAATTGGAGAACCGAACATGTTAAGTAAATAAAATGTACACACATACATGCATATGCAACTTATATATGAGAACACATAATCAAATTTATTAACGAAAATCTTTGCGTTAAGCAAAGGGTGGGGGTGAGAGAGATAGAGAGGGCATGAGGGAGCATGATCAGGTGCGATGTTTTCTTCACTTGAGCGCGTGTGTGTGTGTGCCAGTGTGTAGGTGTAGCTAAACCAGAAGCAGGAACTGTTTGCTGTTTCGTTTCAACAGCAGCAGCAGCACTGTGAACGTCGACGCCGACGTCGCGTCGGCAGCATAAGCAGGCGCACAACTAAACAGAATTCTGCTGTAGCAGCAGCGCGATAAGATTTCGCTGACGTAGAGAAGATCGAAGAAGAGAGACGCAGCGAAAATAAAAATGCGCCAACAGGCAACATGAACAAGAACAAGAACAACAAACAAGAAGAACCGTAACATCAATCCAATTGGAGCTTAACGCTCCGCTTTTGTTTCACTTCCATAGAAAAATTGCTGCATGCAACAAGAGACCCGTCGAACCCAGAGCCCAAAAAACACAACGCCCAAAGCTCAAACCAAAAACCCAAGAAAAAAAGCGAACCAAAAGCCAGTCGACCGATTGCCGTCAATATGGTTCAACAAAATATGTGTACAGTGGACACCCAGGCATGATGAATATGTGAACAAAAATTATTACAAATATAAATTATAAATAGAATTTGCAATAAAACAGTAGAAGAGCTGGATAATATTAGATGTGATAACATAAATGAAAACAAGAAAAAAAAATTTATTTAAGACATGTAATGGAATTGGCATTGCTCTTAGCGAGCGCACGCTGTGCTAAAGCTTTACAAAACAGTTATAGTTCAAGCTTGATGGGAACTAAGCAAATAAAGCAAAACAGTTCATTTAGTACAATCAGCGCATTTGTCATATCATTTTGCTTTAATCTTAAATTGAGAGGTGCGAAATCTTGAGTTCCGTATATAAATTATATACTTGTATATGTATGTGAATGTGAGTACGAATGTATGCCTATACGGAATAAGTGAAGATGCGGTTTTCTCTTTAAAGCCTAAACAAATCTGAAATACACACATAGATCTGCCAGAGAGATAAATTAAGCCAGTGTTGTAAAACCCTTATCCAAGCAGGAATTCAGAATTGTTGACCTCTGAGTAGAATCTGTAAGTGTTGTTGTTCTACACATTGTCAGAACATGAGGAAAACAGTAAAAAGCGAAATGTACGAAAGACAATTAAAGCTGGGAGATTAGCGGTTCAAATTTATCAGCTAGAGCGGGTGACAACTTTTGCATGAGAGTGTGAAAACAGGGGGAAGACGCCGTGAAGTGCGATATGAAATAAGACATGGAAATAAAAGAAGGTCAGAAAGACAAGTGAAACGTGTTCACAAAAAAAAATTTTGTTTGTTGTTAATTTTTAATTTAGAAAACATCTTTAAAAATGTTTAAATTAATTACTGTGAAATGGAAAATCTATTTCCATCTATAATATTATAGATAATTTCGTTCAACAGCGCACCCACTGTACATAGTTAGAAGAGTAGAAAATAAATTGACTTGATTACCTGTTTGCCTTTGCTCCACTGTGCCGTGACGTATTTCGTTGTTGCTGTTGTTGTTGGTGTAATACCCGTTGTCTCTGCTGTTTGTAGTTTGCTGTTCTTATAAGCTTTCAACGCGGAAGCGGATATGTTTGTCCAGATCCAGAGAACGCGCGTTATACTTGTTGTTGCTGCTGCTGCTAACTGCCGCTTCTTCTTCTTTTCCTACTACTGCTTCGACGCCCGCTTGAACTACAACTGCAGCAGTACTACGTAACGTAACGTCTGGTGAACGTCACGCAACGTAAATGCATGCACTTTGCTGTCGATTTCCTGGTTCTGCTGCGGCGTCGTCGTCGTTCGCTGCTACTGCGACGCGACGTCAAGTGGCCATTGTGAAGAGACAAGAGAGAGAGAGAGTGCGACGGGGTACGGACTGTGGACTGCGTTACGTTACGTTACGTTAATCCTGTGTTGACCGCTGTTGCTTCGGGTTGCTTTCAAAAGTGTTTTGTATATGTTTTCTTATTTGCCATGGCAAAAAGCGAATGTCAGCGCCAAAAGGGAATGGCACACCGAAAAAATAACAAAACACAAAAACAAATCGAGCGCAATCTGGAGACGTTCGTGGAGGAAGAGCACAGCCACAAAGAGAGCACAAAGTACTTCCGTCTCACATACACACACACACACGTACACACAAACACAAGCACAGCGATGCACTTGTGCTGGTCCCTGCTGTTGTTATTGCTGCTGCTGCTGCTGCTGGCCCTTTTGCACCCGCGTTTCGTTTAAGTAGAAAACACACACATACAGCAATAAATAAACTGCTTCCTTTTCACTTTTGCTTGCACACTACTTGTTGTTGTTTTTTATTATTCTTTTTTGTTGCGCTCTGTTCGCCTAATTTTTGTTTATTTCGTTTTTATATAGAGAGAACAGCCACAACAGGAAAACTTGGCATACACAGTTATTTAGCTATTCTATGCTTTGTTACTCGATTCTCGACGTCGGTGTCGGCGGCGGCGGTGGCGGCGTCTTTTCTTCCACACTTTTATTTCGCCTCGTTGGCTTTTTGTTATGTTTTGATTTGTCAAGCGATAAATTCAACTTATTATTATTATTGCTGCAATTGTTGTTGTTGGTGGTGGTGGTGCTGCTGCCGTTGCGTGCGCATTGAATCAAATTCAATTAATTTTTGTTAAGAATATTTTTGCACAATTACAATTAGGTATCATAATTATTGTACAACAAATTTTGATTTTTTGATTTGTGTTTTTTGTCTTGTTCCGCAGCAACACGTCCGCTCACCACGAAAGTTTCTTACGTTGTGACTCAAAACATGCGAGTAAGAAATAAACAAAGCAAACGACGAATAACTGAGACCGAGAGCATGCGCAATTGAGTGAACCAAAGAGCGAGAGAGCGAGTGAGCGAGAGAGAGCACATTGCATTTAAGAGCGCAGCCGTTCTGCTTGCAAAGAGAATCGAATTGAAATTTAAATTTAATTTATTATTTCTTATTATTGTCGAAGTCTTCTTGTTCTTGTTAACAATATGTGTAGTATATGTTTCTTCCGAATATTTGCACGTTGTTTATTTCCTTTAACGCCGTGTGTGTATGTGTGCACATATGTGTATGTACATACTACATGTATAGAGGGTGTTCAAAAATATCTTGAATTATGTGCATATATTGCTAACATATTTTACAGGTGATCAGATGGCAATTAAATATGCATAGTTAGTAGGTAATTGCTAATGAACGAAATCAAATTGAATTTAAAATATTTTCTGTAACTCTAAACTTTTATTTCGATAGTTGTGGGTGTTAAGCGTGGGTTGTCGATTGACTTGTTAATCAGCTGCGATAAAAGCTGATTATGGCTTATCAATGAGCTAATAGAATGTGGGCTGTATGCATGCCACAGCTTTAATTGAGCAACAGTGCGGCGAGATTTCCGTTAAACAAAATCTGTTTTATTTGCCAGCATAAATTAGTGGCCAAGTCAAGCAAGAGCGTCGCTGCGTAAGAGCGGAAGAGAGAGAGAGAGGGAGAGAGGAGATAAAGTGATTGAGTGTGTGTAGCAGCGGGAGGCGGGGAGGGACTGACAGGTTGCCATAAAAACGTAGCGAAAGATGCGCTCAGTTGCGTTGCATCCGCTTGACATTTTTTGTTTTGCTTTGTCTTGCTTTTGTTTTTGTTGTTGCTTTGTCTTGAGTTGAAAAGTTCGTTAACCAGTTTCCCTCAAACAACGTTGACATTTGAAGTCAAATGCCCATAAACGGTCAGTGATCGGCTCTCCCGCTCTAACGCATTGGCCCAACTTAGTTTGCCGTTGTTGCTGCTAGTGCCGTTTAGCTTAAGCGAAGAGCGAGACGATTTTAAGAGCGAGAGAGCGCATGGCGAGGGTGAGAGAGCGAACGAGCAGGATTGCGGTTCAGAGTTCAAATAGTCGTCCAATTGAGCCAATCAACATATTTTCTGCGATCAGTAGCAATCATTTCGTTTCGCATTGCACTGGGCGTGTGGGCGAGTGGGCGTGCCCACTGTTGGGTCGTAGGTGGCTGTTAAAGCGGCAGCTACTTAATTTTCAATTTGCTCATGTGAGTTGTGAGTTGGTTTGTGCTTGTGAGTTGATGTATTGGTGCGCTGGTGTGTCTGTGTGTGCGCTTGCAACCTGCCGCCGTCAATCTGACAAAGTTTTCGTCTGTGTGGCACGTTGCAAGTTCGATGCCCAAGTGCAGATAATAATACATTAAAATAGAATGCCGCAATGTCCAGAGTGCGCGCGCACACACACACGCAAATACACTGAAACAGACCAGACACAATTTTTAGTGCTCACCCCTCGTCCATCCCTGAAGAGAGCACGCGCGCGGGCGAGAGCATGCAAGAGCAAGACGTCGACGCTATAAATAGTTTTTCTTTCTTTCTTTCGCTCTGTGCCCCGGCGATCTGTCCCGATGCGGAAGTCTTCCAGACGCTTCACTTTTCACTTTTTGGTCATTTGCCAATCTCACAAATTATTAGCACTAAAAATTTCGCACAGAGGGCGGGCGAGCAGTCATAAGTCTACGAATTGCTATCTATGTATCTATACATACATATGTATATGTATGTATGTATCAAATGTGTGCTACATATACAGTTAGGGTTTCCAGGCTGTCTGGCTGGGAATCGAGTGGAATGCTGTACTAGATCATTAAGATGATAATGACCATTAACTGGGAATATAGTCGGGAAAATTAATTGGCGCTTTAGACTTAAGTTTTAGCTACTCCAATTTTATACAAACGACACATACATATGTGTATGTGTATATAAAGAGGATTTGAGTTGAATTCCTTTCTTTCTTTCGACATATATCAATAAGAATACATATTTTATATATGTAATATCGTTATTATATCATATACATATACATATGTCTACTTATTGTTTTGTCATTAGCTAATATCTGTCTTTATCCACATTATTATTCAAAAGTTAATTATTTTTCAATTATGCTCAGCCCACGTAAGAAATGTGATGGAAATAGCTGAGAATTAGTGAGGCGTTATCTAGGGACCACCTTCACAGAAGCTGCTCTAAACGAAGCAGAAAAGTATTCCAGAAACACCCCATCCGTAGGGTCTCGGATTGCTTGCGGTAATTAAAGTGGAAAAAGGATATTAAGTGCAGATCCTGGTTGCCCTAATTGTTACACATTTTCCCCATTCTCTCACTCTCTGTCTCTCTCTCTCTCTCGAGAACAATGACTTATTGTTACGATCCTTTTTGACATTGTTGCCAGGCAGCAAGACCAGAATGAGGATCAGGATATACCTATATGTATGTATGTGGAGTGTATAGAATGTGCAGCCAGCTGAGCTGGAAAGAAGAAACCGTGGGAAAGGTGAACCTGACTCGAACAATGGAAAAACCGATCAAAAATCAAAGACGACCTGTGCAACGGATCGCCCACAAATCGATCCACACACACACACACATATACACACACATCGTCTCTTCTAATTTAGCGCCCTAAATGAAACTCAGCCAAGCAGAACACAAAGCAACAAACGAATTGCTCGACAACTTAGGGGTTGCTCGATCCTCGCTCGATCGCCGCAAGTGTTTGGCCTTTGGGCAGGTTTGCTTGCCACAGAGACCGGTGAAAGGTTTCAGATTTCATGCAACGAGTGCATTGTGCAACTGCCATGCGATATGACAGACTCGGATCGCAGCGATCGTGGCGATCGAGGCGATCGATCCTCCTCCAGGCCAGGATCAACAGAGAGTGAGTGTGAGTCGCTGCTGTGGCTTCATGCAACGTGTGGAATGTGAAATTTTATCAATTAAATATTGCTGACACACACACAAACACACACACACACATACATACACGCGATCAGTTGTAATATAGCTGATCAGCGTAGATCACCAGCTAAAGTCGAAGTTGGGGCGAAGTTGGCGCTTGTAGCCAGAGCTGAGCATTCTTTGGCTGGTAAATAGCCAAGTGAGAAAGCTAGTGAGAAAAAAGCTGAAGAAGAGATCTAGCTTATTCAGGTATTAATAAAGCTATACAGCTGACTATTGAAAATTGAACTTTTACTTTATACTCCTTCAAGTAAAATTATCTCTCTAGGGAAAAAGGGTAATTTATTTAGTCCTTTAAATATACCTTTTATTTTTACAGTATTTTTATAGTATCTATAATTTGATATATGTATGTATGATTATGTATATTAAAAATTATATTCTATGGGCCAAAACTCTTTAGAATGCTCTCAATTTCATGCTTAGAGTCCATACAGACAAATAGCTAGCAAGATGAATGGTGCTAGGAAACCAATATGCTCCATTCATTCGAAATGGAGAATAAAATGCTATCAAATCCGCTGCTTGTAGTCATTATATTTTATATGTATAAGGCTAAATTCGACGGGAAATAAGCTCAATTGCCAGCACTAACAGGCATTCCAGCACACACGCACACACACACACACTTGCACTCACTAGCACAAGCAAAGAGAATTGGAAAATGCACAGACCACATCCGCTCAGTCGAAGGCTGCGCCGACTGCGCGCTGATCTCAAACTCGATCTCGATCTCGAACTCGATTTCGATCTCGAAACTCAGCTACGATTTTAGTCTGGGCTCTCGGGTTCGCGTCGAGTCGAGTCTCTAGTCTCGGGTCTAGGCCATTCACTGGCTGCAGTTCTTGGAAAACGTTTAAAAGCAGAACAAGCAACAACAACAACAACAACAAAGCAAAGCAAAGATGATGAACCCAACACGATTGAAGTGAGCAACAAGAGAGATAGGGAGATCAAGTGCGAGCGAGACAGGTAGATATCGGAGGAGAGCTGAGCACACGCACTTGAAAACATAGAAAATGGAAATGGGAAAATGGGAAAAAAATGAAAAATGCTGTGTAATTAATTGCAGCATCAGCTCGTACAGCAGGTTCGCCTGGGAACATTTCTCAAAAGGAAGTTTATCCTGCATCCTTAACAAAGAAGCAGCAGAAGAAGCATTTGAAACACATGTCCTGCCCGAGGGCAAAGTGACAAAAGGAAATGCACATGAAATGCGACTTTTTATGAGCCAACAACAAACAACAGCTCGAACTGATGGAAACCTCAGACAATAGCTGAGAAAACTGTGGATTTGGAGCGCAATTAGAGCTATTCACACTTTGAGTAGATCGAAAGATCGCTAAAGAGAGTGGTAGATTAGTAGTAGATATTAGAATTGTGGCAGATTGTAAGAGTAGTAAGAGATAATAAAGTAGTAGTAGATAGTAGAATAGTAGTAGATTATAGAATAGTAGTAGATCATAGGGTAGTAGTATATAATAGAGTAGTCGTAGATATTACAATAGTAGTAGATAGTAGAGTAGTAGTAGATAGTAGAGTAGTAGTAGATAGTAGAGTAGTAGTACATAATAGAGTAGCAGTAGATAATAGAGTTCTAGTGATTCTGGAGTAGTAGTAGACTATAGAGTAGCAGTAGATAATAGAGTAGTAGTGATTCTGGAGTAGTAGTAGACTATAGAGTAGTAGTAGACTGTAGAATAGTAGTAGACTATAGAGTAGTAG